ATATATAAAATTATCAGCAATCTGGTTTTATCTCTCTAGAGAACCCTGTCTAATACACCCTCCTCACCACCGATTTGGATCACTTGTTCCCTTGTTCCTGGGTTTGTTAACACTTCCTTTCCCCCACCCACCCCTCTCCCATGTCCCCCTGGAACTGTCGTTCCTGCTGTTTTCTCCTCCAGATTGTTCATCCTGCCTATCTTATTTAGGCAGACCTATTTTCTCTGTAGATTTTATTGTTTCTTTTTGCTCTGGAACCCCAATGAGACAGCTTATTCCTCTTGAGTGTTTCCTACATAATTCTTAGGCTTCCTTCAGATTCCTTTGCTCTTCTTGTTGGTTGTTTCCCATTGGTTGTAGTCAAGGGATTTTTAAAGCTAATTTGGCTATTTCTTTGATTCTATTACTCTGCTCTTTCACCGTGTCTAATACTGTTATCATTTACCTTCTTTAATTCTATATGGATCAGGGTTTCTAGCATGTCTATTCTTTTCATTGTTCTCGCAAACATTTCCTCCATCCTTTGAAAGGTCTTGGTGATGGTTTGCCAGGTTGTGGGAATGCCTGGGGATTGCCTTACCAGATTTCAGGGAGGGTCAAGGCCTTCCTTCCACATAATCTTGTAATTACATTTTTTTCACAAACTACTTGAAGCCCGCTTGCACATATATAACTTACAAGTACCTTTTATGTGTATCTCTTATAGTGGCTTTTCATTAGTTAATATAGTTAAAAACCAGTTTCACTCTTTAATGTGTGTTCTTGGCCAGGTCACAACTTCATTGAGCCTATTTTCTCCAATAAAAAAAAGGGATGCCACCTTTTACCTCATAGGATTATGGTATTAAATGGAAAAAAAAAACAACAACCATGAGCACCTTACACACTACCCAATACAGATGTTTTTTCTTTTTTAAAAATCATTTTATTGGGGGTTCTTACAGCTCTTATAACAAGCCATACACCAATTGTATCAAACGTATTTGTACATATGTTGCCATCATAATTTTCTAAACATTTACTATCTGAGCCCTTGGTATCAGCTCCTCTTTTTTCCCTCCCTCTCCCCTACCCTCATGACCCCTTGATAAATTAGAAATTATTATTGTGTTCATATTTTACGACTGCTGTTTCCCTTCACCCATTTTTTTTAATACTTTTATTGTGGGCTCTGACATCTCTTATCACAATCCAGTGTCAAGCCGTCATCATTTTGAAAGCATTCTCTTCCCACTTGAACCTCTGATATCAGCTACCCATTTCTTCCCCCTCCCTCCCCCACGAACCCATGATGTTATAGATTATTATTTCCATATCTTACATCATCCTCCGTCACCCCTCACCCACTTTTCCATTATTCATCCCCCTGGGAGGGGGTTCTAGATTGATTGTTGTGAACGATTCCCCCTTTCTCCACCCACCATCTCCTAGTCCTCCTGGTATCTTATCTACTCTCCTTGTTGGCCCTGAGGGGTTTATCTCTCCTGGATTCCCTGCATGATGGGCTTTAATCTGTAGCAGTGTGCATAGGAGAAACGGAAACTCCCGTTGATTTAAAGGGGGGCTAGAGTGACCCCAGGCCTGGATTCCCTGCATGATGGGCTCTTATCTGTAGCAGTGTGCATAGGAGAAACGGAAACTCCCGTTGATTTAAAGGGGGGTTAGAGTGACCCCAGGCCAGACTCCATCGACCTGTGGCACAGCGGGTCCTTTTTGGGTGACATGAACCACACGCCCTAGCCCTTCCTTCAGCACGCCTGTGGGCTGCCCGACCTACCAGGCGCTCAAGGAGGAGCACGAGGTGGATGTGCTGGGGAGCCACCCACCCCTGGCCTGGCGCAGTGAGGTCTCTGTGCCCAACCAGGTGTGTTCCTGAACATCTTTTGCCTGGGCTTCTTGGCATTCACTTACTCAGTGAAGTCCAGGGACCGGAAGATGGTGGGCGACATGTTTGGGCCCCAGAGCTGAGTCCACCGCCAAGTGCCTGAACAACTGTGCCATGGTCTTTAGCCTCATCTTTATGGGGCTAATCATCACCACAGTCTTGTCAGCATGTTGAGGTTGCCAAATCCTCCTCCGGGCTACTCAGACCCTTCCCTGTGGCCAGGCCTTCTGTTCTGGGTCGCCAGCCAGCCCCGCGTCTGGCCTGTTCTCAGTGTGTGTACCTGACAGTAAACCATGTCCGTAAAGTGAAAAAAAAATTCACCCATATTTCTGTTGTTCATGCCCCAGTAGATATTCTAATAACCATTTCCATTTCTCTGATGCTAAGAGTGCTATGCTGCACATTATGTTTTTGAGAAGGAACCATGCTCCATTTCGATCTATACTTCCAAGATATAAAGTTAATATTAAGTGTCAAATTAGACAAAAAGATGCATGTTTGGGGAAATTACCAAGTGGTCCGCACAGGACTTCAGCCAGGGTAAGAGTGAATCGTAGCACTAAGTATGTTACCCTATAAAATTCTTAGATTTGGAATGAGAGACACGCTAAACAAAGGAGTTTCCATATGGATCTGCTAATCCCATCTCCATGAAAGAAAATGAACGGAAAAGAAAATACTTGAGAAAAGTACCTTTAATTTTGTTATCTGAAGCGTGATATACAAAGGCAGTAACTTTATATGGAAAATGGAAAATGGCCAGAATAATTTTACAAAAACCTTTCTAGAAGTAATATAATTCGATTGTTTATTGCATATGCTTACAAAATATAGAATTTGACTGAAGAAATACTAAATGAATACAAGATCATTTGTATTCTGAAGGTTGGACAGCTAATGATCAAATTTACAAGTGTTAGAAACAAAAATTTCCCCTTTGAGAACTCTCTCACTTTAAGCAATGCTCGCAACGAATCCAATTAGGGAAACAAAGATTACCTTATACTCAATTCCACTTTAAAATACTGTCAAATTACTAAGTTTTGTTAAGTTGCTTATACAAACTTAAAGTCATGAGCATGACTTCGGGATCTGCACTTTTTATGTCTAGTGCTTTAACTAAGCAATTGAGAGCCTCTTGTATTTTCCCACACTCTTTCAATTCTTTTCCACGTATTACAAGAGTCTCGTAGTCACTTGCAGCCTCTACTTCCTCGTCATGAGTAGAAGCCATTAACTGTCTACCAGACAAAGACTCAGGGTCATCAACAGGGGTCTCCGACACTGAAGCACCAGGATTAGACAGAGTTAACCAACTGGACTTATTTTGTGAAGATTGCTTTTCTCGGGAAAGATCCTCTTCTGCGTTCTCTGAGGTTTCTCCACTGATTCCCTCTGCTCCTTCTTCTAGATAATCATCAGTACTTTTTGCTTCACTGCTGTTGTCAAGTCTTTCCTCCATATCCTCCACATGGTCTAAAACCACATTTATAAGAGATCGCCTAGAAGCCAGAGATTGCCTAGAGTTTATAGTCTTGTTTCCACTGACAGCTATTTTAGGGGAAAAGAACGTTTGAGATGGACTAATGTCCTTTTTAGGAGTTGAAGCATCAAACTGTTCCACAGATGAGAATGGAAAGGGTGATGTGCTGAATGGATTTGTGCTTGAAATGCCTTCAAACGAATTATCTTCATCTTCACCATCTGAAACAATCCTTCTAGCTTTACTTCTGGTTTTCGCAGTAGCTACTGAGACTTCTGATTCATCGTCTTTCTCAGAAAAACCCAAACTGAAACGGCCTGTTTTGTTATGCACAAACTCTGCTCTAGAATTAGCTTCAGGACTACACCAATTGTTTTCTTTCTCACTATGCTCCAAACACTGGCTGGAAATATTTTGCCTGTTGTCTGCAGAGTCTTCCAAGACAAGGTTGAAATCACATGCATACTGTAGCGACGATGCGAAAGGCTCATCTTCCGACATTCCCTCATTTGTTTGCGCATCCTGCAGTGAACTGTGGAGTGCTGACCAAGCATACTGTGCAGATGCTGAAGGTTCCTCTTCTGATTTGGCCTCATTTGTTTGAGTATCCTGCAGGGTGATATGAGATGCTGACAAGTCATCAGCTAGCTCAATAATGGATGAATTACATTCTACATTTTCATTTTGACTTGTTATAGGATTAGTGGGCCATAGATTACAGTGATGTAGAATTTCATCATCTTTTGGTTGATCTAGATTTGGCCCAGTATCAGCCCTGAGTGATTTGCCAGGTGAACCGTTATAACTTCCCAGAGAGCTCTCTTGCAATGCCTCCTTCTGTAAAGCCTCAGTGTCAGTTGTAAAGCTTCTTGCCAGTTTCAATAAAGAATCAGTGCAAATTTCTTCTACATCTGCACCCTCTCTGGATAAAGTAGCTGTAAACTCAGAGTCCAGTCTATTTTCACATGTGTGCTTATCATCTTTCTGGTCAGAAACGTTCATCTTCATACTGGAGAGATCTTGTTTCTCACTCTCTTCAGCCACGTCATCAATGATTACATTTGCCATTCGTACACTGATATCTTCTTCCTGTGTATGATGGGTAAATGTAAGAGGTGAAGGCTGAAATTGTGGTGTATTTAGTTGAAGGTATTTCTTTTTTTGAGAAGGAAACACGGGTTCTCTCAACGATGGCCCCTCACTTACTGTTCTTTGTCTTTCCATCAGGAGCTCTGTATTTTGAGATTCCAATTCAACAAGCAACTGAGCTTTTTCAACCCTTTGTTGAATATATTGAGATTCTTCTATCATATCCAGTTCTTCTTTGACAGATAGATCATGCATGAATATCAAATCATGGTCTGAGATTCCAGCGATTCCCAAAGAGTGCAGGTAGGCAATATGTTCGTCCAATTTATCATCCGATCTTCTCTGAGCAGCATGCAAAGATTGCAGCTGCAGCTGGGTTGCAGAGCTCTGAAAATCCTCGATTGTAAAGAGCTCTCTTAATTCTTGTTTACTAAAATATCTGAAAGGGTTCTTCTTATCACCAGTAGTTTGTCTTATTAACGAGTCCTTGAAAACTTGTCTTCTGTATATTTTTTCTTCTACAGTCCCACAAGTGATTAGCCTGTACACTACAACATTTTCTTTTTGTCCAATTCGGTAAACCCTATCCACAGCTTGAGCATCAGTTGCAGGGTTCCAGCTAGGGTCAAAAATGACCACTCTAGTTGCTGCAGTTAGGGTTAAACCAACACCACCAACTTGAGTGGTAAGCAGAAAAACAGAGTAATCTTTATTTTGCTGGAATAATTTTATTCTTTTTTCTCGTTCCAAGAGATGAGTAATTGTTCCATCGATTCGCAGTGTCTTAAAGTGCCTTTTCTTTAAGAGATGTTCAATAAAGTTTAGAATTTGTCTCGATTGAGAAAAGACCAAAGTTTGATGTCCTTCATCCCGCAGTCTCATAAGTAGGTTCATTAGGAATATCATTTTTCCAGATTCTTCCATCAATGTATCATCAGTTACTTGATAAAGATGGCTCACATCTGAAGATTCTTCCCTCTCATTTTCATTTTGAGAAGAGAACTTAGATCCCCCTAGATTCAGTAAACAATAAGCCCGTGCAGAAAGCAACCTAGGATGATCACACAACTTCTTTAAGACACCTAGTTCAGCCAAAGGGGAGCGTGTCTCCATTAACAACTCTTTGATATGATCCAGAGATACAAATTTCCTATATATTTCTTCTTGTAATGGTACTAGACGTATCCAAATAATTAAGTCATTTTTCCTGGAAAGGGAAGGCATTTGACAAATGGCATCAACATCTGGATTATTTTCACTAAATCTGATGTCTGGGTTGCTTGACTTTTTCTTCTGTACCTCTTCTTTAGTCCTCCTGAGAAAATACGGTTTTATGATTGCCATTAAATTTTCAGATATTTTAAATCCCAAGGCTTTTTCTCCTGGGGTAGCATCCTTCTCTCTTGCCTTAGTAATAGGATTTTCATACTCCATTTTAAAAGTTTTTAACGTCCCTAATAGGGATCCTTGACAAGCAAAGTCAAATAGGGACCACAATTCTTGTAAGTTATTCTGAATTGGTGTTCCTGTGAGGAGGATGCGATTCTTTGCAGGGATAGCACGAGCACATATTGCTGATTTAGTAGATGAGGTTTTTATTTTATGTGCTTCATCAAGGATAACATAGTCCCACACAAATTCTTGGCCATTCATGCTTGAAAGCTGCTGCCAATTATTGATTAGCATTTGGTATGTAGTGATAATGACACCATTCCTTTGCTGAATTCGACTGAGGTTTCTGGTGCGTTCATCTTTGCTAGGACCATGAAAGGCTTTGACTCTCATTCCCGGAGTCCAACGGACAAACTCTTTTATCCACGTAGTAATAAGATTGGTTGGCATGATTAACAGCACATGATTCACAAGTGCAGCATCAAACATACCAGAAAGGAAAGCGATGATTTGAAGAGTCTTTCCTAATCCCATATCGTCTGCCAAAATACCACCTTTTCTTCCATCCCTGTACAGGCTATACAGGAAAGCGACACCTTCCTTCTGGTGCTCAAAGAGCTGGTTGTGCAGTTCTCGATAAAGCAGCAAGCCACAGTTGCACACATCTGTGAACTCATCTTCTCCATGTTCTGCCAACTCCTCCAATGCTTCCTGTAATTTTTTGATTCTGCTCATCACCTTTTCATTGGGAAAAATGTCCTTTGCCAAATTGAACAGTTTAAAGGCTTCTTCCAGATCTCCATTCTTAGCTGCTTCTTTGGCCTCTTTCACATATCTGTTAAAAAAAAAAACAAAACAATTAGAAAGAAAGGAAACGTTGAACATTCACCCAAAGAACCATAGAGAGTCTATTTTGGAATCCAAACTACATTTCAGCTTTTAATATCCTTAATTCAGGGTGGGGAAAGATTAGCACAGAAGATGCCGATGAAAGCTGACCTCACGTGAGACACGTGCCAGCAACACCTTCAGGCACTAGTTATGGAAACAAATGCCCAAAGGTTATTGACTTCACAATATTCTTTTTTAACTATCACCCTTAAGAAGTATGGAGTGATATTATTTGTAAAACAAATAATTTGTGTGGGGGATGGAAACAGGTAAGACACATAAGGTACTTTTCAAACTTAATTTTTCTGGACCTCAGTGATGCATTTGATACTACCTTCCTCCTAAAATGCCTGCCTACCTCCCCCCCACCCCCTAATTCACTAGATTCCTATAGGCTCTCCTATTTTCCTCCTACAACATGGGCCATTTCTTCTCTTCGACTCATTCCTTTCAGACGGCTCCCGGGGCCCTTTTCCCATTGTTTATACTCTTCTCCTTGGACTGTCTCAGAACTACTTCCAACCAATGTGCTGATGTCTCCCATGTCATTATCTCCAACCCAAGCTCTAGTCTAGACCCACATTCCAATCACCCACTGCACATCTCTGCTTGAAAATCTCTTATTTAATGTCAAATTAAATTCATTATCCCTCCCTTATAAAATAGATAACATAGCTATCCACATCACTACGCAGCCTAGGCATTTGGAGATCATCCTTGACCCTTCTTCTCATTTTACTCACACACACACACACTCCAGTAGTCACCAAGTTCTACTAAGTTTATTTTCCAAGTATAACCTACCTTCCGTCTTTCCAGTTACTACTACTGTGATCCACGTCACTGTATCTCTAGCCCGGATAATTGCAACTCCCAAGTCACTGGTCTCCCTGGCTCTACTCTTAGTTTCCTTAAACATATTCTTTACATGTAACAAATGATACAAGGAGGCTTCAAAAAGCTTGTGGAAGATAGAGTTGAAAGATAAGAAAAAAATTTCCACAAACTTGTTGCAGCCCCTTCATATTGCCTTAAAATAATTATGTAGCATCTGCTTATTACTTTACAATGGTTTACAGTCAATTGATCTTTGACAAGTGTACCAAAGTAATTCTGTGGGGAAAGAACACTCTTTTCAACTGGATAGCCACACTGCAAAAGAATGAAACTGTCACTGAATTATAAATGTAATGTTTGTTAAATGCTTTATTGTATAGTCTTATTATGATTTTAAATAAGAATTAAATTTTAATTCCATCACACACCATACACAGAAGTTAATTTAAAATGGATTAAAGACTTAAAACAATAAAATTCTTAGAAGAAAACAGGCACAAGATTTCATGAACTTAAATTTGGCAACGGTTTCATAAATATGACAGCAAGAAGCATAAGCAATTAAGGAAAACTAATTAAATTGGACTTCATCAAAATCAAAACTTTATCAGAAAATGGGAAAAAAGATTTGAAAATTGTATATCTGATAAACATTTTATATCCTGACTATATCTTAAAGCTTGCAGAAGTCAACAACAACAAAACTAAAAGCCAATTAAACTGGGCAAATAACTTGACAATTACAAATAGCCAATAAGCACATGAAAATACGGCAACCACGAGGTGTCGAAGGGATCAGGTGTAAGGCATCATCAGAACAAAAAATCTTACCATAGTGAATGATGGGGGGAGTGCGGAGTGGAGAT